TTCTTAGACAAAAGCAAAACTTCTGTTCTGTGACCAAATGATGGAAGATAACCATAAAACATCTTGGAATAGTAAACACAGAATCTTGACTTTGCTCTTGGCTAACAGCACATACCACATTTGTTGTTTCTGTAAATTGAAAGTAAATTCTAGTTTCTTATTTCCTTCTTATATTCTATAAAACATGGTTATATTTCCTGGAGTTCACTGTCTTACAGAAGGGCATTAATGTGTAAACCAGCCTCCCCTTTATTTTTCTGTTACCATTTAAAAAATAAATAAGTAGAAATAAAAGAGAGTCTGATGATGTAGATTTTGGATCCTGCTTTCCAGTGTGCCAAATGCTCTACAATTATAGAAGGAACTTTGTATGTGAAATTCAACGGAAGGAAATATGTTCCATAACTTAGGTACCAGTCAAAATATTTAATAAAATATAAGCTGCCAATAAATAAAACCACATAAAAGTGTCCCTCTGTATATTTCCACAATCCAGAAATAACCTACCAAAGCTGAAATTTGAAAATTCACAGAAAGAAGATGATTTAAGAAATTGGATAAAATAACTTGCTCTCATAAACTATGTATTCATTTGTCCACACCCTATTGCTATTTCCTTGGTTCCAGTGGGACCCCTGGAGGAGGTATGTACAGTGAAAGAGGAAATGAAATTCTAACCCTGAGTGCCAATCATAATCACACTGTCCCTAAAGATGTTTGCATTTCCTTTCAAGAATGTTTTTGTAAAGATGAGTAACTGTTCACCAACAGTAGGCTAGATTCTTTCAGCACGAATCAGAATCAGTACAAGAAGTACTCTGTGAGCGTTGATGCAAAAAAATAAGGAAAAAAGCACAAAAAAAGAACAGAAAAACACAAAAATCCAAAAAAGAACCCGAAGAGTAATTTAATTAAAAATATTATTTATGCCTTTTTAATTGAAGTCCACAGATCATTAATAATTTAAAAGTGTTCTTCAAGTGGGTACCAGAATTTTGAATTAGTGACACCAGTACAATTACAAATATATTTTGAATAATGAGACAGAAATAATTACCAATGATCTATGTGCCCCGGCCTTCCATTATTTCCCAGGCTTTCTCTACCAAGGCTGCATCATTTAACTATTCTTGAACATTAGAGTGTAAATGGAAGTGACATGGGTCACTTCCAGGTGAAAACATTCAGAGGTCAGTGCATGAACTTCCACTCTTCCTTACCTCCTGTGGTGACCAGGGACACCACATGTTGAGACTCCAGAGAGTCAGATTGGGCCTGTGAGTGAGTATTTGGGATACTGCACTGGTAGAGATTTTAGAAAGAATAAACAAATAATGAAAAAATTTTAAAGTTAAAACAATGAGATTTGAGGGTTAATAAGTCACTGCAACATGCATGCACTATCCTACGCAGTACAGGAAACTAACGTGGGGTTACTAACTTTTATATTCCAAATAAGAAGATTTTTAAATATAAGCATACAAAAATCCCTTACCATATGCCATCATTATGTAAAATAACTAATATATTTAAATAAAAAATAAGGAAGGCTATCATAACAGAATAAAGGATTCTTTCTAAACTACATTATTTTTTTTTAAATAACACTTTATTTTCTTTGATTTTGTCATTTTTCTGAACAAAATCTTCATCATGGAATAGTACACCAGTCTTCCAAATTGGTATTTAAGAATCAAAGATCTAAGTATTTCAAAAATGGCAAAAGATTGTTGACCCAAAGCAATTAAAAAGCTCATGTGATGACAATGTCCAGCATTACCTGTCTTTCAGTAAGATCTAGATTCACGGCTATCTCATATCGCCTCAGTCTGGTCAAATAATTATGATGGGCAAATTCTGCTTCAAGTTCTCTGATTTGCTCTTTGGTAAAAGCCGTCCTTTCCTTCCTGGGTTTGCTGTTGACTTCTGACTTGTAATTGCCTTCCTGGGAATCTGGAATTAAAAAAAAAAAAAGAAAAAGAGGATTACTGCTAATGCATTCACTGTCATCGTATCATTTATTGTTATTGAGGAACTTCCAAGTATTGAGCTGAACAAGGGGCAAACAGAGAGCAAAGACAGTAAGATTGATCTCATATTAACAGAGCAAGAAACATTTCTTGTTTTGTTTTGTTTTTTTTCAATCTACCAGTAATTCATAGCCTGTTTGGGGGAGTATTTTATTTTCTTCTTTCAAAATATGAAAAGAATTTTTGACTGCTCATAATATGGTATTATTATAACAAAATAAGCCAAAGACTCGCCAGAAAACAACTCTAATTTGCCTTAACAAATAATATTTACAGCTAAATAAGATTGAATACAGAATCCTGAAAAAAAAAAGTAGCAACTTATTATGTGAATATTTTAGCAACAAAATGTTTAACAAATGGGCTATTTGAGCATTTGGATTCTAGACTGGTAGGGTTGTTGTTTTTTTGTTTTTTAAGAGAGAGAGAGAGAATAAGTAAATAATTAATTTTTTTTAATGTTAGAACATTGACATTTGAGGACTTTGAGTTTTCAGCCTGAGCATACGTAAAAGTATACGTGTACTTATTGGCCTTTTTATTGCTATGTAAGTATGGCCTTGACAATAGCCATGCTCTTCTTTTATTGGGTAGCATATTTAGTTCAATGTGGAACTCATAAATAAAATTGGGTTCATGTAACTTAAAAGATGAGCAGAGTTTTAAAATACATTTTTGTTGTATAAATGGTAAACATAAGCTGCACAACATCTAGCATCAACTATCCACAACATCAAATCTTATAAGGCCATGTAAAAATAACAATCATAATTTGAAGTATCTGATTCCAACTTTTTTCTTGAGGGATCAAGACATAATTAACATATAGCATTTAATTTAATCTATCCTTATAATATTATTGAGATGTAAGTTAGAAGACATTCTTAATACACTGAAGAACAGAATGTGTTTATAATGGAAAAAAAAATCCTGCATATACCAAGTAAGAAGTAATCATACTCAGCTCTAGTAAATCAAGTTCCCTTTTTCTTCAGTGAAATATCAACATAATCAAGATAAAGGAAATGCTAGAGCTTTCATCAAAATTATTTCTGGTTTCAAAGTTTTTTGATTTTTTGAGCGTGTACACACAAGCTGCAAAACGTTTCTCAGGTGGGAGTACAAATAGCTCTTCTATGAGCCCAAACAAGAGAAGTGATTCAGGAAAAAAAAATGTTTAACTAAAGGTTACAGAGTGACATTTTGATTATTTTTAATTGACAAATATAATGTGGTATGGTTTATACATTATCTTTTAAACTACATTTGTTTTTTCATCCAGTGATGCTTAATTATGCCAAGAAGTACAAAAACAATTTTTTTTTTCAGTCTTCTTTTCCTTTCTGTCTGCTTGGAGGAAGTCTAAACTGGAGAGGGCCCTGCATAATGGAAACGTGCTAGACAAGGCACTTTAATGTAAACACTTCTGTTTTGACTTTTAGCAGAGTCTGAGCTGACCAGATGTACAGTTGTGGAGGCCCTGCAGCAGCCCCAGTCATTTGCATCAACATCTTGGCACACTGGGCACTCCTTTTCCTCTGCCTGATCACAGTGTGTTTCACTGACTGGTGCACTGGCACTGTCTAAAATTCTTCATCATTCACTAACTACATTTCTGGGCTTGTCACTTACCTCTGTGTTGACTGGCTCCCCACCTTGGCAAGCAGGTGGGGCTTTATTCTATTGCAAAAAGTATTTTGTGATATGTCACACAGAGGTTGATTTCATTTTATAAGAATCCACTGGGACCAGGTGAGTCACATAATACCTGAAGTGTGAGCTCTCAGGTAGATCTGCTTACAAATGCAAACCTAGCTGCTTCTGAGTGGAACTGCAGTCCACCACATACCTGTTTTAAGCTACATATTTGCCAACATCCACACTGTTGGAGCATTTAGCTATATTGGGGTTGTGTGGATAAGTCTTCCAAATGATTGATTGAAAAAAAAAACCTATTTTCCCATGGGCTGTTCTGGCAGATTGGAAAGTCAGTCACAGCATAGAATATTCTGATAACAAGTCCTTCTCACAAGAATCTATGTTCTCACGTGAGCAAAAAGAACTTTTGCCAATTTGGAGCCACTCTGCCTGAAATCTGTGGCTGATTATTCTTTATGTGGAGACAATGCTCTTTTCCCCTTCAGTTAAGCAGCTCTGGAAACTGAAGGCAAAGCCAGCATATTTTTTCTCATGAGCAATTTAATTTGAATGATTCATGGTTAGCACATTCCCTTATGTAAGCATGAATGAACAAATTCACATTGAGAAAAGCCTATTAACTTGAATTTATTTTTGTTTCTTTGAAACTGATCTCCTCCAACTTTTGCAATATTCAAAAGTACTTCATAAATACCACACATACACACAAACAAACACACCAAACGTGGACCAGTGCTTGGAAGGACAGTCCATGTAAAAGATCTAAATATGCATTCCTTACAGCTAGAAATATACAACAGGAGGTTTATGTATTCAGTGACTGGATTTAAACAAAAATCTGGCTATACCTCAACACTTAAATCCAAAAACAATTTACTGAATGCCTGGAGTTCGAACCAAAATTGCTTATGAAGTGAAATCCAATGACTAAAATGAAGTGAGCTTTGCACACTTACGTTGACAATAATCACAGGAGTCATGAAATTGCAATTAATATGACAAGGAGTGGGTATGTGCTTCCTGACAGTATCACCTAAGAGGGATGTCAACATTGATGAGGTAGCACCAGTGTTGATGAATCCAGTGGACACTTTTATCCTAGTATAGGATTCTATTGCAGTTTTCACCCAGAATGCTCCCACTTTTATTGGAAACATGCATTTGGAAATGCATTTCTGGACTTGTGTATCCCATAATCTTGGGACCTTAAACCATTTAACCTATTTTGTTTTAAGTTTCCAAAGTTTATCATTTGCTGATTCCAAGACCTCTACTGTTATCACCCGACAAGCTATTCATTGGTGGAAAATGGGTGCGAAATTTAGACAAAGCTTTTGGCAAATTTCACATCAGCCTCCATCTGTTTCCCAGCTGTTTCAACTGAGGCAAAGCACCCTCCGTTTTCGCCAGCCTCCCATATCCTATGCCAAATGGTAGGTGTTGAGGGGGAAATTAGGGAACTGCCTTCCTTTCTTCCCTACAACCACAAACAAAATGTCACTATCTGTACAGTATATTCCAAGGTAAAATAGTGCAATTGTTGTTTCTCTCTCTCAGTATTTTAATGCACCTGTGAGTGCACCATTGTTGACTTATGTGTTCAGGTATGGTTGGGAGTCCCAGTTCCCTGACCTTTTGCTCCCTGGGACTATGCTAATGGAAGAAGTCTGCAACACTTCCGTGGAGGATAAAAATTGCCCTCCAAGGATCATTTCTGTCTAGAGTTTAGAACTTCTCCACATGTGACTTTTTATTTCCCTTAGTGCAAGAGGACGCCAAAAGACAATAATGTTTTATGGAAGACAAGTGATGTGAGGGCTTGGTGTGTTCACTCGTGGCACAGAATGTTTTTTAACAAAAGAGAATAAAGTATGGTTGAATGTATTTTTGGCTACTCTGGGTAAACTTTATTAACTTGTTAAATGAAGAACATAATTTACCTATGTCTGTAAAGCATTAAAATGTAATGGAACATCTATATAACTTGTTCTAAAATGAATTCTTGTTTCATATCCTGAAGAATGTATGAATACTAAGAGTAAGCATATTTTAATCTTTTCAACTTCTTATATCAATGTTTTGTAGACTATTCACAATGAGAGAGATTCTGCTATTTACAAAGCTAATAATCATCTGTACATAGGAAAATTTATAAAATAATCTTATAAATGCTAGCAATTTTCACATTTGAACAGGAAGTTACCTCCTTCCTATGGGCATTCATCCAACTTGTTTTTAATGAGTAGACATTTAAGCCTTTCCATTTTTCTTCAAAGTAAATAATCTTCTTCAGGACTGCTAAAATCCTCTTGATCACCTACTTTCCAGATTTGAGAATCACAGTCATAGTGAACTACTTATTACTAATAAATGCATCTATTACATACTGAGGTGTGTAGTGTGGAAAAAAATGGAATTGAAAACCACTGTGCTAGATCTAGAATACAATAGCATTGAAAACACCCATTACTTTTTGTACCTCTGATTTTTAAAATGTACATCCATGATAACAGTTTCTCTTATAAAGCCAACCCAAATTTACATATCACAAAAAGGGAACTTCCACAGATTTTAAAGTGAATTATCATAATGACAGTTATCTTTAAGGTTTCACTATTCTCCCATAGGTCCAGTGACTGTCCATTGGTAGATGTTCTCTTTCCACCTCTGGCCTACCTGCTCTCTACTCTCTTAATTATTTGTGGGACTATGTAACATATTCTCAGGGACAAAATAAAACAGATGAATTTCAGTTCAGTGAAACTGAAGTTTGATCAGTTTTATTACATTTGGGTAGAGATTGTATGTTTTGAACAAAGAATTTGCAGAAAATATCCTATTTATTTTTAATAAGACCAAAAAGTTCTTAGTTGGTGAGCTATATTGAAAGATGAACTGCACATAGGTTAAAACCATTTATATGTTAGGCTTCATTTTTATTTTAAAATTTTGACTTCTTCCTTAAAAAATTATAAATGCAATTAATTCTGAAAAATGAGATTAATGAACTTCTAGTATAATGTATTCTGTCAATATTACTTAAAAATACTATATTTTCTAACTTATACAACAAATCATGCAATACAAAATCACAATTTAAAGGGGGAAAGTATGAAGATTTGAAATGCTTTATAAAATGTATATATTTTCAGATTGCATTTTAGAAGGGAAAAGAATTAAGATTTCCAAAAATACCTTAATATTAATGCATCATAAAATATGAAAATTTAAAATTTACCAAAAAATAAAAGAAATAAGATAGGT